TTTTTCTGTGTTTGGAATATTTCCTAATTTATTGTTTAAAAAGAACTCATCATATCTTTATTATAAAAACTCCCAATATGCTTCAAAAATATTTGCTAATATTAATAAATGGAATTGAAAGTTTTTAAGTGAAATCATAGATTCATTAGAAAATATTTTAAAATATAATAATGTCACCTTCAGGAGGAAAGTTCCAGTTTTGTCAGGTGAATTATGACACAATGATTAAGCTCAGGTTCATGGAATTATTAAAATTGCCAGTTGGCTATGAACATTATTTTCAACAGTTCTATCCACACCTCCTAGAACAAAGGCTCACCTCTGTAATCTCAGCTACTCAAGAGGTTGAGATCTGAGGATCATGTTTCAAAAGCCAGCCTGGGCAGGAAAGTCTGTGGACTCTTATCTCCAATAAACCACCCAGAAAACCAGAAGTGCTTCTGTGGCTCAAGTGGTAGAGCTCTAGCCTTGAGCTGAAGGGCTGAGGGACAGCTCCCAGGCCCAGAGTTCAAACTCTATGACTGACCAAAAAAAAAAAAAAGCTATCCCCATCATCTTCTCCAGTTTAATTTTCAGAGAAGGAAGGAAAAACAAAAAGAAGCCTCACTAAACCAATCTTGGAGGTAGTGGGTGGGACTCGATTAGAATGAGGTAGGACTTTAAGAAGACTTAGAACCTCTTGAATCATTTGGACAACTCTTTGATCCAATTTTATTTGTAATGTTTCCCTAAACCACACTATTCATAATTACTGCTCTCTGATTCACTGTTCAACCCCTCAACATTCAGAGTCTAAAGCTTAGCTTTACTTTTTGTTGTTGCCTTGTGGTGCTAAGAAATGAACTCAAGGCCCTGTACAAGATTTACTAGGCAAGCACTCCACCAAGAGTGGCATTTATACTCTGGGACTTTGAGCCTTCCCTTGTTGCTGTTAAAATTCATGTGTAGCTCAATCTAATAACTCTTTTGAAGGAATTTTCTCTTTTTTCCCCTCTGCTTTTAAGATGACCTTTCTCTTTTGATGTGTGATTTTCTTATGATGTGATAGTGGAATATTTTTAATACTCTTTGAAAGACACTGAATTTGTATAACTTCTCTTCTATCCTGAAAAGTCGATAAACAAGTTAGAACTTCTCTCTATTCTATTGTACCTTTTACCCTTCTTTCCTGTTTTTATCTTTTTATCTCTCAGTGATTCCTTCTTGATAATTACTTTATTCTTAATTCATTTTCTCATCTGTAGCTAAATGCTATTAATCCTATCAATTTCATCCGTAGAGCTTTACTTGGTTCTTTTCCACACGAGTAGACATTTTTTGTATCCTCTTGACATTTTTTCCCATATTTTCAGCTCCTTTCTATCTTGTTTTATTTGTGATCCTGGGAATTGAACCAAGAACTTCACTCATACTAGAACAAACACTCTGCCTGCTGAGCTATCCACTGGTCCCCATTCTTTATTTTTTTAGCAGAAAAAAAATCTTATATCCAATGCCTAATAAGCATTTTGATACCTGAAACCTTTTTACATATGCTTCTTCTGTTTCTGGTCTCACCTCGCCATCACTTACAGTGTTCTTTCCCATAGATCTGTGACGTTTCTCAGGGAAAGCTCCATGCAGGAAAGTCAGCTACTACTAGCTGCCATTCACATGATCGTGAGTGTACCCCGTGTGTTTACACCCACAGTGTGCTGTTAATAAACTATGACGCTTCCTAGGTTTGGTAGAATAAATGCAGTTTTGATTTGGGGGTCATTTCAATTTATAATGGAGTTAACGGGAAATAATTCCATTTTAAGGTGAAGACCGACTACCCCCCCACATCCTACTGGTTCTGAATCTCTGGAGAATCTTAATATTTTATCCAGTTGGAAACAATGAGAGCAAACAAACATACAGTCAAGCATCACTTAATAATAGGATACATCCCAGGACAGTATCATTAGGTATTCTCCTATGGAAACAACATAGAGGGCACATATGCTAACTTAGATGGCTGAGCCTGCCTTTACCTAGGCTAGATAAAGCTTACAGAGCCTAGGATCCTGTACAGTACATGACTGTTTTGAATGCTGTAGGCAAGGGTAACATAACAGTATTTGTGTAAATGTATCTAACCATAGAAAAGGCACTGTAAAGATACAGTGTAAGAGACAAAAAATAAAATGGTTCACCTATGTATAATCCTGACCATGAATAGAGCTGGCAGGACTAGAAGGTGCTCTGGGTGACTGAGTGAGTGGATGGTAATCTGGGTTTCCAAAAACAGTCAGAAATCCAAATTTCAAAATGTAGCTAATTAAACTTTTTATTTTTATTTTTTTGGTCCGGTTGTGGGCTACTTCCAGCTTTTTTTTTCCTTTTTGCTTATGTGGTGCTGAGGAATCGAACCCAGGACCTCATGCATGCAAGACAAGCGCTCTACCACTGAGCCACCTTCCCAGCCCCGCTAATTAAATTTTTAAAAAAATGTTTTCAAAAGACTGTGAACTTAACAAAATGCATCAGCAGGTACAAGGTAGCTTGTAAATGGCTTCCTTTGCTTAAAGTATGCATACAGGGTATTTTATTTTATTTTTTATTTTTTTATTGTGAGAATACCATACAGAGGAGTTACAATTACATGGGCAAGATAATGAGTGCATTTCTTATCAAGCATTGTTGCCTCCTCGTTGTTTCCCCTTCCCATCCCTTCCCATACTCCTCCCCTCACCCCACCCGATCCTCCTCCCACCCCCCCACCAAAGTTGTTAAGTTCATTTTTTCGACATAACGACTTGTACATCTCATTGTTGCAATGGGTCCACCTGTATCCCTAGTTAAACAATTTGGTTTTTTTCCCTTCCTCTCCACAAATTATACCAACATCAAATACAGTGAAAGTACGGGTTATACTATGGGGGAGGGACACACAAAGCAACAAAGAAATCATAAATACGATAGAAACAATTGCATGAAAGGAAAAAAAACAAAAAAACATTTGAATACTTATCTTGGGGTTCATTCCCCTAACATCAACTTATCTGACCTTTTCTGCTTGACTCAGACATATACTAGTTATTGCAAATAAGGGAAACCATGGGACCTATGTTTCTTTGGGCCTAGCTTACTTCACTTAATAGAATTTTTTCCAAGTCTTTCCATTTCCTAACAAATGAGGCAATGTCATTCTTTCTGATGGAGGCATAGAATTCCATTGTGTATATATACCACATTTTCTTGATCCATTCATCTACTGAGGGGTATCTGGGTTGGTTCCATATCTTAGCTATGGTAAATAAGGCTGCAATTAACATAGTTGTGCTGGTAGCTTTAGTGTGGTCTTGTTTGTGATCATTTGGGTAAATGCCCAAAAGTGGGATTGCTGTGTCATAGGGGAGCTCTTTTGAGGAACCTCCATACTGCTTTCTAAAGTGGTTGAATACGTTTACACTCCCACCAACAATGCAGTAGGGTTCCCTTTTCACCACATCCCCTTCCATCTGTTGTTATTAGAGTTCTTGATTATAGCCATTCTAACTGGGGTGAGGTGGTATCTCAATGTTGTTTTGATTTACATTTCTTTTATGGCTAGAGAAGTTGAGCATTTCTTCATGTGTCTATTGGTATTTTAATCTTATAACATTAAGGTAAAATTAAGCAACTTATTTAAAAATCTCACAAGCAGTAATACAGCTGTATCTCAGACCTAATTCTTGTTCCACATACCTCCTTCCACTGCCTCTTTGCCTAACAATGAAATTTATACACAGGTTAGTAATTAATCCCAACAGCTGTAGTAAATTTTTGAAAGATACATATGCTTAGAACACAAGTGATATTGTGAAGCAAAGTGATAGCTGAGAAAACAAATATCTTTCATCTCCAGCAAAGTTTGAAAAAAATATAAGGCAGATATTTTAGATTTCTGGAGAAAAATTGAATGATTGCTTATAGAAGAAAGCTGGACTCCATGTATTAAGATTTTATTTAGTTAGAATACATCCTATTCCGTCGCTGTATTGAGACAGCTTACAGTTCAAGCTCAGAGGAATCCAGGAGGGCTAGCCAAAGCCAATTCCCTTCTTTCTGCTCTAATCTGTAAAGAATGCTGATTTGGGGGCGGGGGTAAACTAAGGGTGAAGCCAGGTACAGCAGTCTCAAAGCTGGAGGGTTAGATGGGACTAGATTCAGAGGCTCTAACTACAAGTCCACTACAACTTAAAAACCGAACAATATATAAGCCATTCTTTTCTATCTTGCTCTTCTCAAGTAGTTACAGCGCTTTGTAACGCAATTCTAACTAAGCAATAGTAGCTATGTCCTCTGATCACACATCCCCACTCATTGTCGAGTTTTTATTTCCCTGTGGGGACTCACAAACTAGTTTGAACTTGAAAAACGTCTTCTATGCCAAGAGAGCCAACAGAATTGGTTTGGTGCCAAGTGCACCCGAATCTAGCAGCGTTGGCACAAAATCAGATCTAAATTCCAATACGATGGCAATGTAATACTCAACAGGCCAATCAGGTTTGCCTCAAGGCGTCAAGGTTTGCCTAGGCTTAGGAGAGGCGATCTGAAATGAGGGCCAAGGCCCAGCATTTCTTGGATGAGATGCTATTTACAGCCGGGAGAAACCAAAGCCCCACGACAGCTGCGGTGCCACCGCCAAGCAAGCAGGTCACACACCGCTCACCTTCACAGTCGGACCCCGGGCTTCCCCCGGTCTCCTGGCCCGGCACCAGCGCCAGGTTAAAGACCCAAAGCCCGGTGCAAAAGGCCACGATGGCAGCTGAGCTTGCACACCGCATGTTGAGCCAGAAGGTGCAAAACACCACCGCTCCCGGGGACGTCCACCACCACCAAGAGGTTGGGCTGAAAAAAAAAAAATCTGACACTGCGTTGCTAGGACAAATGAGGCAACTCAAGGGAGAGTTCCCATTGGCTGAGACAAAAACAGGCGGAGCGAGGAGGAGGAGGAGCAAGGAGCCTCTTCCGGTCCCCTTTCCGGACGGAGTGTGCGCACTACCGCTTGCGCGGGGCGGCGCACCACAGCTATTCGCTGACTGCTCGTGAGAAAAGGCGGGACCTTCGCTCTGATTGGCCGCCATTCGGAAAAGCCGGCGCGGCGGACCGGATGCAGTGGGCGGGCGGGAACGTGAAGTCTCCGCGGTGCCTGCTGGGGCTGCTCTGTGGCGTGTAGCTGTTGCTGCCGGGGACCCCTCGCTCACAGCCGCCGCGGTCCCGCCGCCTCATGGCGGCCATCGGAGTGCACCTGGGCTGCACGTCAGCCTGTGTGGCCGTGTACAAGGTAAGGGACCCGGAGAACCGCGCTGCAGCTCTCATGGCGGCCGAGGGCCGTCGCGCAAGAGTGGCGTTGCCGCTGGACGCTTCGAGGCGAAGGGCCGGGGCCAGCTCGGCTTCGGCTCTCGGAGTTCTTCCGGGAAAGCCCGCCGCGCCCTCGCCGTGGCACGTGGTGACGCGGGCGCGCGGGGTCCCGGGGAGACAGGGCGCCTCGAGGGACCCCTGCGGCTGGGCGCCCCGAGGAGTCCCAGGATATCCAGGCCGCTCCATAGAGTCCGAGGGCGTCCAGGCCACCCCGAAGAGGCCCCGAGCGTCCGGGTCCCCCCCCCCAGGACTCTCATCATCACGTTCTGGCCACCGTGAAGAGCCCCAGAATGTCCGGGCCACCCCAGGAGTCCCAGGACACCTGGTCCGCAGGATGACCAGAGGGGTCGCTGGGGTGCCCACAGGGGCCCCAGGAATATCGTGGCTGCAGGGATTGCTGGAGAAGTCCGAAGAGAAGGACCAGAGGATGTCCGGATGAGTCTCCAGATCTCCCAAGACCCCTGGGCTGGGGGTCAGGGAGGGACACCATTCTCGTAAGGACGCCTAGGGGCGTCCCGGGAACTCCTGGACCGCAGGATTCCTTGAGGGGTTCCTGGATGTTGGGGCCAAGTCTGTGCAGCAGATACCGGGAGGCTTCTCCATTGAGGCCACTTCCTGAGGTGGGCGGGCCCCAACTTCTTGGATCCTAGAACCTGGACCTGTCTTGAATGACTGGGATCCACTGGATTTGGGGGAGGGATGGAGGGGGGAGAAGGAGGCTGGCTCTGATCTGGAGCTTGAGCCATCTCTGAGTGCTGTGAATGACAGGCTTTCTCTAACCTCAAGGTTGAGGAAGGAGAAACTTCCCCTGCTCCTAGGTCCTATGTTTTAAATGTCAATTGATTTGTATGAAACATGCAAAGAGATTTGCTACTTAGTTTATTGAAGGTTTTTTTTTTAAGGTATATTTCTGGGAAGAAGGATCAGAGGTAGAATGATGCTTGTTATTGTTAAAGTTGTTTATGTTTGGTCCAGCTCACTGATCGGAGCAGACTGAAAAATGTGAGTGAGTTCTATAAAATCCAGAAAAATAATAGTAACAAAACCCACAAGTTTAAAATATCAGTAGAATAATCCAAATCTGTCTAATGAGACTGTGTATTTCATTTTAAAAGGACTAACTCAAAGTTGTATGCTTTTCTCTAGGATGGCCGTGCAGATGTGGTTGCAAATGATGCAGGAGATAGAGTTACCCCTGCTGTTGTAGCTTACTCCGAGAATGAAGAGGTACTACTACTGTTCTCTCTTTTTTTTCAGTCCATGGAAATAAGTACAAGTTACATGCATTGTGATATGTTACTCTTTTCTTTTTTCAGGTGGTTGGACTGGCTGCAAAACAAAGTAGAATAAGAAATATTTCAAATACAGTAGTGAAAGTAAAGCAGATCCTGGGAAGAAGGTATGGAGTAAAATACTTCAAAGTGCTGTAACAGAAATGTGTTTTTTTAAGTTCTGAGCATAGTGTAAAGTGATACTACAAACACCATTATTTTGTTGTCTTTCTTGACTGCATTGTTTCCAAGAGGGTACCCCAGTAGAGTGCTTTTTTTGTTATTCTTGTTAGGTATTCTGGAGAGTAGGATTTACAGATAATTGATTCTTGTTCACAAGTCTGTTAGCATTCATAAATGTCAACATTTGTTTACTTTTGATGATTTATCATTCAGAGGTGCTAGTTTGGACTTTTCACACTTTTCTATTTTTTTATCTGAAGGAATTTGAGTGATTTGTGAGAATTTGAAGACTTTTTTGTGTATAGATTGGATTTTGCAAAATATTAAAATTAATCATACTTGATATAGCTGCTATTGATTTTCTTTCTTAAGGCCTTTTGTGACACTTGGCTGGGAACTGACTTTTCTAGTTGGCTTACAAATTTAATCATTCGAGAAACAACTTAATGTCTTGTTGTAGGAATCAGGTTAATCATCTGCTGTAACTTTGATTAGAAGATTAAAGAGGCTTGCCTGTCAAGACTTCTGTCTCCTCAAATTATAGATTACCATCATAATTAGGATGTTTTATTTATACTAGTACTTGATGGTGTATCTAAATTTGCACAGTGCTTTCATGTCTATTATATTACTTAATCCTCTCAACATCCTTTAAAAACAGAGGGCAGGTACTATCCTTCCTTGTTTATAAATGAGACAACCAAGGCACAGAGAACCTTCAGTATTTCTAAGTCAGTTAAAAGACCGAACTAGATAACCTGCCCTCCATGTCTCCTAACCTCACTCCAGTCTGTCCTTTCTGTTCCATTTAATGAGAATTTAAGTAGATATTTCCTTAAGTTGATTACATTTAATATTAATTAGTTGTGTATAGCCTCTTCAGTTAAATTAAACTTGATACAGAATTTTTGGAAAAAATTTAAATCTTTGTGATGAATGTATTCCAATAATCCTGTTTCCTATTGGAAAATTTTAGTACTAAGCCTATTAATAAATTGGTATCAAATATTTTCAAATAATAAAATCTAAACAAAAGCAGGAAATTGTAATGGATCTTGAAGCCTGAATCATGGAGGGGGTCAGCAATTTGTTTTAAGTAACCCTTTTGTTTTGAGGTAATTGTAGTTTCACATACAGTTATAAAAAAACAAAACAGGCATCCAGTATATTTATTTATTAGATTTAGTACTTCTTCCCAGTGCCAGCATCATGCAAAGCTGTGGTTTAATATCACAGTCCAGAAACACAGTTATAGAATCAAGAAACAACATTCCCATAGATACATTCCCTTTCAGCCAACTTCATTTGTTTCCTTTATACTGCTATTTGATAGATGGTTAGAAAAAAAGAAATGGCTGTCTTCTGCCTTATTCATAGAGCTTCATATTAGCCAAACAACTTTCCTGTCCCTTCTAGCAAGGAGTGCAATAGTAATAGATGGCTAAAAGCCACAACATAGTATCTAGGCTAAGGTTAGTAAAGGTTAAGTACTCCTCAGACATACTGCTGTATGACCATCCTCCTCATACTAGTTCTCTAGAGTTAGTTGCCTCATGAGCGAGGTTCTTTTCCTCTTCCGCTTGACTACTTACCAGACAATGGTGATTTTTACAGATACATGGTTGTACCAGGTCTCAGCCTTGGAAGCATTCCGCCCTTTGTGGAGGAGCCAATTCTTTTGTTATGAAGCCATTAAGCCCTGGTCCAGTACCTACTCTGGGTGAACTCCCAAAGTTGTGCTTTCTGAATCTGGGCCTCATGCCTATTTATGACCTACGCACAGGCAGCACTACTTGCTGCCTAAAAATCCTTACACCCTCCCTGTGTTACTCCATTCCCCTGTGGCCTTCCATCCAGAAGTGTGGTCCTTGGACCTGACTTCTCAGCAAATACCCTGAGAGGGAAGAATGGACTGGCTCCTGGAAATACACTGAGAGCACACAGAGCTTCCCCACATCTTCAGATTTGTGCACCTGTGGCCCAGGAGCTTGCTGCAGTACCCCTCCTTTCCAGCTCACTATGGCCACCACCAGTAGCAGTGCGGGCATCCGGTGGTCCAGACAGGAGACACGAACTCTTCTCTCCATACTAGGCGAGGCAGAGTATATTCAACGCCTCCAGACTGTACATCATAATGCAGATGTCTATCAGGCTGTGTCCAAGCGAATGCAGCAGGAAGGCTTCCGCCGCACCGAACGCCAGTGCCGCTCCAAGTTTAAAGTTCTGAAGGCATTATACTTAAAGGCCTATGTTGCCCACGCCACCAGCATGGGGGATCCACCGCACTGTCCATTTTATGATACGCTGGATCAGCTTCTTCGAAATCAGGTAGTGACTGACCCAGACAACCTAATGGAGGCTGCTTCTTGGGCCAAGCACTGTGATCAGAACTTGGTGGCCTCTGACACCCCAAGGGAAAAGAGAACTTCCATTGTGAAAGCAGAAAGGACTCAGGTGACTGATCATCAGCCTTTCTTGAAAAGAGTTAAGGAATCAGATGAAGATTGTCAGCTGAGAATCAGTGACCGGATTCGAGAAGCCAGTGACCTTGAGGACTCCTGGGATGAATCCTCGGGTGCAGGTAACTCCCAAGCATGTGAAGGATGGGGTCTCAGAGGCACTTGCTTCTAAGAGCGGTGGATATTTGGACCATGCCCTCTCCAGAACAGCCCCTTATTTTTTTCAAACCTAATAAATACACAAAGGGCACCAGGGTTTAAAAAGCTACCACCCTAAGTAAATATGATACTAGAACTTGAAACCTGCAAGACATGCTCTTTAGAGCCAAACTAGTCTTAGCCTTGTATGTAATGGGTAGTTAGGAACTTATAGGAAAAGAGTGGGCTAGATCGCTCTATGGAAAGGATAAATTTAGCAAGGCAAGGGTTTGTGTTATGGGCCCAAATGGCCAGATTAAAGAATGATTATTCCAGTCCCTTGTGGAAAGAGGCCTTCCTCAGAATTACCCTAGTTTACTGTATCTCAGCTGTGCTGCTGGCTCCAACATTCCCTTAGCAAGAGTGTCCTCTTTGCAACATTGTTGCTTTGTTTTTCAGGGTGCTCTCAAGGGACCCCCAACTACAGCAGCTCCCACAACCTTTTCAGAGGTGCAGCTGTTCCCTGTCAGAGCAGTCCCATGACCAGACTGGGTGTGTCAGGTGAGCCCATTCCCAGCACCAGCCGAAACCCTCCTGGGGCAGCCTCCACTTCACAGCCTCCAGGTTCCTCTTCCACAGTTGGTTTGGTCTCTGGAGGAGATAGACCTTTGGCCAGTGAGCCCCCTCCAAGGTGGGCAAGGCGAAGAAGGAGGTCAGTGGCCAGGACTATTGCAGCTGAGTTGGCAGAAAACAGGAGGTTGGCACGAGAACTTTCAAAGCGAGAGGAAGAAAAACTGGATAGGTTGATTGCTATTGGTGAAGAGGCCAGTGCCCAACAAGATGCTGCCAATGAGCTGCGCAGGGATGCTGTCATCGCGGTCAGACGCTTGGCAACAGCAGTGGAAGAAGCTACTGGTGCTTTTCAGCTAGGACTCGAAAAATTGCTTCAAAAGTTGATTTCAAATGCCAAAAGCTAGGAACTGACTGTGAAAGAATAACTTCATAAACAGAAGTCTCCTCACACCTGCCTTCTGATACCATAGCACCTTTTTTTGTCCTCAGAAAAGTGTAGTGAATCGTTGATATGCAGAGGAACAGGAGTATACTTGTGAGTTCTTTTTATCAAGATTCTCCACTAAGTGAAAGACCATTTAGAAATGAGAGGTGCCTAGTAGAAACCATGGAATCAAGTCCAAGAGAGCTAGTTTGTCTTGGCTTTCTCTGTGATTGGAGGCAATTTCCTTTACCTCTCTACAATAGCTTCCTCATCTGTGAAATGAGGGATAGCTACAAATTCCTGCCCTGCCTACCTCACAGGGCTGTTGTGAGGATCAGGTAGCTAATAGATGTGAAAGGGTTTAAAAGTTTATAAGCACTATATAAATGTATGTTATTAATGTGTATGGCCTTGGCTGGAGCAAGGCTAGGGAGAGCATATTACTTTACAGGATATAAAAGTGTGGTTGTATACCTTGACCTGTTGCTTAAATCTGGTAGTTTAATTTGACTGCTTCATGGAGTTTGAGGTCTTAGATTTTAAAATCCTATGGTTCATTAGACTAAAGTAGGCACAATGTGTATTTTTCCCTTTGTTTCATTCTTCATTGCTGTGTCTCTGACTTTTCTACTAGTCAGCACAGTTGGTAATAATCCAACCTGTCAAACCTTCCTTTTACTACTTCTTGGTCTCCTATCAAGGATATAACAGAACTAATGAGAGTCACAGTAGTGTTAATGCTTCTTATCGACCATCTGTGATAGGTGGATATTGGCTGTTTTATAGAACAGTAAGTGTAAGTAAATTCTTTATATTTCATATTATTTGGGTCCCTTTCTATGCATAAGTTACATCTTTAAATTTTAGTTGCCCTTTGAACCTTAGAGAAGCAATTTGAATTGTAGCAGTTTGAGATCTGCTTTTAGTTAATTTCATTTTTTTCTATTAGCTTGTTGTTGTTAGGGGTTTTTGTTTGTTTGTTTGTTGTTTTTGCCTACTATGTTTTAAAGGCCCTAGAAAGCTTTCCCTCTGGGGAACTTGCCAAAGTTACTTTTTGCCTGATGACCTAGGTAAAAGTTGATCTGGTCAATGGCAGATGGTGAAATAGACCAGTTTCATTTTCCCTTTAGTTTTGAGAACACTGGAGGTGGTGTAGATAGACTCCTTTTAAACACAGTCCTCATCCAACACATATCACCTTTGGGAGAGGTGATGGTGGTGGTAGGCAACATTCCCAGTTTTTCCTCACTCAATCCTTTTAGTAGTTCACATAATACTTTCAGAGAACACACATCATCTAGGATTTAAAAAGCTTTCCTGTAGTCTAGCTGGGAAAGAAATAAGAGGGCGTGTTGGAAAAGGCTTTGTTTTATATATAAACCGGTGCTTATCTAACTACTGACAATGCAAATGGGACCCACCTGGCGCCATGTGTATGTGGCAAGTAAAGTGGTGGGTATGTGAAGGAGCCAGTGTAGTAGAATACACTGGTATATAGTTAAAACTCCTGGACCCCAGTCCTGTCGCAGTGGTTTCATTGGGCAAAATCACTTGCCCCTATCGTGCCTCAAGCTCTTTATCTCTAAATCAATATATTTGTTGTAGGTTGGTTTTTTCCTAGTACCTTTGAGTTCTAAAAAATAGTATAAGGCAAAATACAGGCTCAAGGAGTGGCTCAAGGTGTAGAGTATATGCCTGCCTGCCATGTACAAAACCTGGGTTTATACCCCAGTACTACCAAAAAAATGAGTGTGATGCTCCCATTTTCAGTTACAGTGGCATACTAATGCATGTTTGAAGTACTGGTAACAATTGTATTTTAACAATTACATTCTGGGTGTTGATGTTTGTTGATAGCCCTGGAACATCTAAGCACCACACTAGTACAGAGTGCTTACTTTCAGAAAGCATGTATTAAGGCATTGAGATAGATACATAAATTTATGTTGTGTTACTCGTTTTAGCCGTTCTATGGAAGGATATGTGTCCCTTACACCATTGTAACACTAGTACAGATGAGTACATAAGTAGATTTTCTGGGAAAACAGGAAAGTATACTCTACTAACGGTAGCAAAATACTTAGGCAGGAATTTCTTTTGAGTAAGAGAAGTACAAAAGAGTAGCAGTGGAGTTAAGCTTACAGATAGTATTGTAAAAATCTGATGGGCGTAGTAACCATAATGTAGATATGATAGGAAAAGGTCCTGAAGAAGTAAACAAAACACAGAAGCTGCAGACTGTCAATGCAGGGAAGTTGCTGTAAAGAGAGCCCAAGTTCCAGAAAGCAAGCTAGGAATCCTGCCTAAGCTCTAATCATTATACTGCCTAGACATACTCAGACAAGGCTTTCACCATTCCATAACTCAGGTTCCTCATCTAAAGTGGAAACTGTTGTCCTCCCTACCTCACAGGGATGTTGTGAGGATCCAGTGGACAGATGAATGAATGTAAAGTGCTGTTAAACTCATAGGCACAATGATACAACAGGAGTTGGGAAGGTACTCCAGTGCTGGTATTGCCAAGCCAGGGAGCTTGATGGCTAAGAGATAGTGAAGGAGGAAGAGGAAATGGCCTCCCTTTTAAAGTTTGTGCCTACTGGTAGAGTTGACACTGCATCCTGATGACCATGATGTGAACAAGGTGCTTACTGTATACCAGCCTCCCACCAGCTTTGTTTTTCTGTTAAACAATTTATTCCTAGTGTGGACAAATAAAGTTTTTACTTGTGTGTAGTTGTTGGTCAAGTCTGCTATTTTCTGTGATCCTTGTGATCTTTTGTTACTTCATTCTCTGCTTCCTTACATACCTGCTTTGCAGTCTCCAGTGTTCTGCTTGTGTCATGTGCGGCCCTCAGAACTACTGTACTTTCTGTACTTAGATGAAAGAGTCTGTCTTTACATGGCAGTTGAGAAATTCTCTTCATTTCTAAAAGTTAATAGACATGCCATAAAATATTCTTCCTTGAAAATTACCCTGAGTAAATAGCCTGCACATAATGGGGTTAAATTATAAGAAAACAGCCTGTAAATGTCTTGTTGAAATTCTAGTACTGATCTAGAGTCCCACTATGGACATAATTGTTTCATCCCTACTTGTCTGGTGTACAATCCAGGTAGTGGGTTAGTGAAAGGGAGGAGTGGGAGAGTTATGGAAAAAAAATGTTAAACTTTATATTGAAGGTCTGGTTGCTGGACAATTAAGCCATTAAGGAACTTTGTCACTTTGGGCAAGCACCTGTCCTCCCATTAATTTTGTCAGTGGTAGGGGAAGTAAGGAACCTGCCAAGTATTTAAGAATTCTAAGCCAGGTTAGTCCAGGTTAAGGGCCTCCAAGTTCTGTAACCCTTCTGCAGTTAGTTAGCCACTATTAATCATCAGCTCTTAATAAACATTTAAGGCGGGTTTCTGAACAGAATAGCCACAGCTCCTTCAAAGACTATTAAGAAGGATACTAGTCTGATTCTTAAGTTCTACATGAAGTTAAACAAAGGGTGAGAGATCCTGTCCCTCCTGAAGGGGTCATTTGATAGTATTAATGGAGCCTGTCTACTGAAGTGTAAACATGAGTAGCTGGTGGTCACATCTTGGCTCCCTGTCCATATTACTCTGTAGTAAGCTCACTGCCCCTCTGTAAAACATACCTAACAACCCACTTAGATGTTATAGACATTAAAAAAGTATTAAGTGGAAATCTGTACTTTGCATAAATTGGTATTACTATCCTGAGCAACATAAATGCACATTTAGCGCTTGCTTTGTATGGATCTGTCCATGCTGTGTTTACATGTATGAGTCTACACTTCGATATACACCATTCATACTTCTTACTCTTTTGGTTTTGGGTGTTTATGTTTAGGATCCAATAAAGATGGTGTTGGATTTTTGCTCTTAAGTATCCACTCCTTTTTGCCCTTTTCAGTGGCTGGATCATCAGGATCACAGATGTGAAAATGTTCAAATGAATAAAATCCATATCAGGAAATGTCACTCTGAAATGTATAGTGAGGTCAGAACAAGGGAGAATTATTTTCAGATGTGAAGATGAACATTTTAGCTGAATTACTATAATCACTGAGTATAAATACTCCACTTATTTATAACTCATTATTTGAAACTTGTTGAACAGTTTAACATTATTTATATTTTAATGCTTATGATATGGTCTTTAGGCCTTTTTTTATCTATAATACCAATTTTGATCCTGAGATATCTTTATATCTTTCTTTATGGACAGCTCCGACGATCCACAAGCTCAGAAATACATCTCGGAAAGTAAATGTTTAGTGAGTATGCTTCCATTATTGCTTCCCTGCTATACAAAGTAATTGCCAAATGTCATGCCATAATGTTGACTTGAAACTTAACATTTTTATTTGAATTACTCTGTATTGAGAATTATAATTTCTTTTGTAGGTTGTTGAAAAAAATGGGAAATTGCGATATGAAATAGATACAGGAGAAGAAACTAAATTTGTTAACCCAGAAGATGTTGCCAGACTCATATTTAGTAAAATGAAAGGTACTGAAAAATTTCAGTTAACTTTAAATGACATTTTAAAATAAATGATATTTTAAAAGCTAACCTTAAAAGGCTAGAGGTAACTGGGCACCAGTGGTTCACACTTATAATCCTAGCTACTCAAGAGGCTGAGATATGGGGATTGCAGTTCAAAACCAGCATGGACAGGAAAGTCTGTGAGACTTATCTCTAATTAGGCACCATAATGGAGCTATGTCAAGTGATAGAATGCTAGCTTTGAGCAAAAAATGCTCAAGCACAGTGTCTAGGCCCTGAGTTCAAGCTCCAGGACTGACACAGACCCTCCCCTTCCTCTCCCCCTCTTCCCCCCCACCGGCCACACAAACACAAAAAAGCTACAAGTAATTTGGGATTTAGGGAGAAGTGAAATGAATAGATCAGAAGTAAGAAGACCTAAACTGTAGGCCTGGTTTCACTACCAAATGTCTGTGTGACCTTAGTTAAATAAATGACGTACCTTCCACAACTTTTGATTTTTCTTTGTAAGGACAGACCAAGTATCCCTTACCTGATGTGCTTGGGACCAGAAGTATTTCAGATTTTGTGGTTTTCAGACTTGGGAATAGTTGCATAGATCATACCAGTTGACAGTAGCCCTAATCCAAAAATCTAAAACACTCTTCAAAATTCAAAGCCTTTATCAATTGATTTGGAGCATTTCAGATTTCAGGTTTTCAGATGAGGCATATTCAAATACAATATAAGTGGATCGGGCCATGTTAGCACTTTCAAAACTTACTAGTAACAGTGAGCCAAAAATCCAGTAGTGAATGTTTTATTTTTCTTCAAGATTGACAGAGTAGCCAGGCTCATACCAATAATCCTAGCTACTCAGGAGGTTGAGAAACAGGATTTCACTTCCAAGCCATCTGCAGCAGGAAAGTCCATGAGAGTCTTATCTGTAGCTAGCCAGCAAAAAGCTGGTAGTGGAACTGTGGCTCAAGTGGTGGAGTACCACCCTGACTAATAAAAATAATAATGATCAGAGATTGACAGTATATTTTCCACTTTTTGGCAGATTTGAGTAGATCTGTTTTTTTCACCACTCCAGGTTAAGTCTCAGTGTGTTTCAGCAGTGGAATAATTTGAGCAATTCTGGAGTAGATTGTGAGGCTCATATCCACCCTGGAATTATGTTATGACCTGGTGGGATGGAATGACCCTTATAATATGTTCAATTAAGATGATGTTGTAGCTTTACATTGGTGCATTTATAGTTCATCTCTCATGCATTTGTAGCTCTCTGTGAAACCAGTGTAATTTGGAAGATAGCTGAAATTCTGAGACCAAAGAGCCAGACTCTGGAAAGTGCTTTGGTTAATTGATTTAGTATGTCCCAAAGCCATTACTTTACCAAAACTAGAAGTACTGCCCGATTCAAGAGCAAAAGAAAAGACATCCAAGTAAAGGCATCCAAGTAAATTGGAATGTATTTAGTGAATTCTTTGACATGAATTTAGGAACCTCAAACAAGCATTATCTAGCTTTATTCTGTCATTAGAATTTATTTTTGTTTTTTAATGTACAGAGACGGCACATTCTGTCTTGGGCTCAGATGCAAATGATGTAGTTATTACTGTTCCATTTGATTTTGGAGAAAAGCAGAAAAATGCTCTTGGGTAAGTATACAATGGAAGTTATCTTATTTGCTCAGTTAAAAACATTTTATAGTTATCATTATATAATAAAAAGTAATTGTAAATACCTTCCTATGGTAAAAGTAATTCATATTTCCTTTTATAATATAAGGGTATATAAAATTAGATATGGTATATATCTTTTGGCTGTTTTGATTGGAAGTGTTCTTAATTTCCAGGTTAAAAAGATGTTTATGAACTAGTTTATACAATTTAGGTTTACATAAAAATATGCAAATGTAGGAAGCAGTAGTGATTCTTTCCTTGTCTTAGCGCTTAATATCTAAACCAAAATAAGTATGAACCTTTGTTTTTTGTTGTTCATTCAACCTGTATTTATTGATTACTTTTGCTGTTTAGGCTATACTATATTCAGGGTTAAGTACAGAGAGACAGGGGAGGCCTAGTTCTGACCTCACAGAATTAGCAGGGTGATATTGAAACCATGGTAAGAATGGGAGGTTCTGAATGGCATGGTAGCAGGATTTCTCCCAGTGTCTGAAAACCCCAAAAGATGCCACAGAAAAGGTGAACTTTTTAAAGCATAGACATTTTTGAGAGCTGTAGTTTGTTTTTTTTTTGGGGGGGGTGTCCAGTCGTGGGGCCTGAACTCTGGGCCTGGGCGCTGTCCCTCAGCTCTTCAGCTCAAGGCTAGTGCTCTACCACTTGAGCCATAGCGCCACTTCCAGCTTTTTTTTTTCTTATGTGGTGCTGAGGAATCGAACCCAGGGCCTCAGGCATGCAAGGCAAGCGCTCTACCACTGAGCCACCTTCCCAGCCCCTGAGAGCTGTAGTTTTATGTTTAGTATAGGCACATTATTTTCTCTGTTAAGAAAGTGGACTCTTGAAGTCCCTTCCATTTCATGTGCTCTACCTTCTTACTGTCATTGCACTCTGTGTCTCCTTGTGCAATTGTATTTGCTATCACATAGATTTTTTTAAGAGCATTTCTTAAAGTGTAGAATTGACATATTGTAACATTGAATTCACTGAAAGCAAATTGTTCACAGAGAAGCAGCAGGAGCTGCTGGATTTAATGTTTTACGACTAATCCATGAGCCATCTGCAGCTCTTCTTGCTTATGGAATTGGACAAGATTCTCCTGCCGGAAAAAGGTAAAAACCATCCTGACAGTTTTCTTTTTTCAATGCAGAAACATTTTAGACTATAACAGTTTTGTCCAAAAGGATTGTTATATAATGCTTTATGAATGAATAACATTGACTCACCTAGAGGTTTTCAAATAGTTAAAAAAGAAGCACTAGGAAAGTAGCGAAAGGTGTTTGTTTATGGCACTGGCATTTAATTCAGAGCTTTGTACTTGAGCCACACGCCTAGCCTTGTTTTGCTTTATTTTTCAAATAGTGCCTTTTTTTACTCTGGGGCCAGTCCTAGACTGTGAGCTTTCTTCTTACAGCCTCCTGAGTATTGAAGATGCCAAGCTAACTGTTGAGATGGGTTTCTCACTTTTTCCTGGACTAGGCTCAGACATCAGTCCTCCCAATCTCTGCCTCCAATGCCTAGCCTTAAGAATTTTTTTGGTGAGAACTAGTAAGATGTATTTACTTCTAATTGATGTTTCTCACAATTAAAGCAGCTATATGAACCACTGGGAAATTATTTTAAGTAAATAAATATAGGAATACTAGAAATGATGGGTTTTCATATTCTAGAAATAGGAAGTTAGCTTCTAGTTTTGCATATTGTTTCTGTCTCTAGAACATAGGAAAATAGTAACTTGCATGATATTGAGATTGAATTTTTCATATTCAATTCTCTTAAAACTTAGTATGATCTTTCTTTTATTTACTTTGGAAAAAGAGTATTTTGAACCATAGTGACTCCAAAGAATAGTTTTGCAAACATGACTAAATAGAGAGAGCTTAGATGTGAATTTAGAAGGTATAGGCTTGAGGCTGGATTCATCCTCAACTAATTATAGATGACTTCTTACTCATCTGAGATTTTCAGCTTCCTACTTTGTAGTATAAAGAGATTAAATGAAATGGATTCTGAAGTCCAGTCTGGCTTTATTTAACATGCTCTGATGCTTTAATAAGTTACTTGCTTTATCTTTCTCTTGAAGCAATGTTTTGGTATTTAAGCTTGGAGGCACATCCTTATCTCTCAGCATTATGGAAGTTAATAGTGGAATGTATCGGGTTCTGTCAACAAACACTGATGATAATATCGGAGGTGCACATTTCACAGAAACCCTAGCTCAGTATCTGGCTTCTGAGTTCCAGAGGTGAGTCTTAATGGCCTGGGTAATTTATGTATGCATCTGTGTGTGTTGCTGGGGTATGGAACCAGGGCCTCAGATGTGCTAGGTAGGGAATCTCACTATATACCAAGACTGACAAACTCAAACTCAGAATTTTCCTGCCTCAGCTTCCAAAGTGCTGGTATGATAGGCCTACACCAACGTATTCAGCCTTGCATAAGACATTTTAATTGAAGCTTTCAAGTTTAAATTACTCTGTTGCATAGAAAGGATGTGGTTTTCTCGTTGCATGGAAATTATATTTGCTTCCTTCCTTCCTTCCTTTCTTTTTCTTTCTTTCTTTCTTTCTTTCTTTCTTCTTTCTTTTTTTTGCTACTCATGGGGCTTGAACTCAGAACCTAGGCACTATCCCTGAGCTTCTTTTGCTCAAGGCTAGTGCTCTATCACTTGAGCCACAGCACCACGCCAACTTTTTCTGCTTAATGTGGTACTGAGGAATCTTCATGCATGCTAGGCAAGCAGTCTACCACTGGGCCACATTCCCAGCCCCAGAAATTATATTTTCATCTCTACAGTTATAGTGTCCTGGGAAGCAGAGGCTGAGCCTCATGCATGTACTATTCAAGTCTGAATTTTGAATTCACTTTGTGCTGCTCAGTGTCTAGGTAAGAGTGTACAGGCGGCAAGACCTTACTGCCATCTGAATGGTTTTCAAAAGCTAGGCTCTTGTGAGGGGTGTAGTATCAACATTTTTATTTAATTAACTCAGGACCATATTATTCTAAGCAAGTACTTGAACAATGCTACGAGCCCTTTTTGCTTTTTTGTTCAAATAAGGATCTCATGTCTGTGATTGAGCAGGCCTGAATCACAATCCTATTTATCCTTCTTTGCATAGCGGGATTGCAGATGCTTACCACTACACTCAGCTGCTTGCTTCCTTCTTTTACAAGTCCTTTATATGTTGCTTCCTTCCTTCCTTTTTTTTTGTGTTTGTGGTGGTGCTATTTGGGTTTGATCTCAGGCTATCAAACACTCTGCCCCTTACACCTCCAGCCCCTTATGTTTTTAGGGTATTTTTCAGATAGAGTTTTATTTTTTCCCTGGAGCTATCCTCAAACTATAATCCTCCTACTTATGCTTCCCACATGGCTAGGACGACAGATATGCACTACTATGCCCAGTTCATTTTGTTGAGATGAGATCTTGGTAATTTTTTTGCCCGGGTTGACCTCAGATTTCCTCCTCCTAATCCCATTTTCCCAAGTAGCTGAACTTTTACATTGGAACCATTTTGTTTGAGATGAGGGTCTCAAAAACGTTTGGGTCAGGTTGACCTCAAACCATGATCCCCCTTCCCTGGTAGCTGGGATTTCAGGTGTGAACCACCACTCCCAGCAGAACCCTTCTTTTAATTGCATAAGATATTACTAGAATTCAATTGGCCCTGGAGCTCAAGTGGTAGAGTGCTAGCCTTGAGCTGAAGAGCTGAGGGACAGTGCTCAGGCCCAGAGTTCAAACCCCATGACCAACAAAAAACAAAAACAAAATCAAATACTAACATGTGCCATATGGTATTGATTTATGAATTTTTTTTTTGCCTTTCTTTTTCTGGTACCGGGGATCAAACCTAGGACATTGCACTTGCTAGGCAAGCACTTTGCTACTGAGCTACATCTCAACCCTGATTTATGAATCTATCATTGCTCTAAAAGCAATTATCTAGATTTTAGTTACATTAGATTATTTTCTAGATTTTAGTTGAGATTCGAAATGACTCCATAATTTTAAACTTCAAAGGTTATGTTTTTAATTTAGATCCTTCAAACACGATGTGAGGAGAAATGCCAGAGCCATGATGAAGTTGATGAACAGCGCCGAGGTGGCAAAGCATTCCCTGTCGACCTTAGGAAGTGCCAATTGTTTCCTTGATTCGTTATATGAAGGTCAGGATTTTGACTGCAATGTGTCCAGGTAAAACACACTGAAACATGCTAAGAGCATGTTACATGAGAGGTATAACTCTCTCACCTTAAGTTGTATGTTTGTTTTGTAGCTTGGAATATATTCATGATCTATCACAGGGAAATGTGGCTTTTTATACTACTGGGGTCCAATTTTTATTAGATTTAAATAGCTCATTTCCTAAATATAATTACATCAGTTGAGATTGTTTGTTGTTACTTTAATCTACTGTTAGCTATGTGTGAAAAAGTCACCTAGATTCAAAGGTGAGATGGGATTTATTAGTCCAATATATTCAGATTTCTCCAACTTGCAGCCCCACCTGTCAGATCTTTGTTGCAGAAGTTGAAGGAGAGCTTGCTAATCTTTCCTTACTACTTAATGTTGGTGGCAGGATGGATTAAGTCCTTCCTTTCTTCTAACATGTCCTATCTTCATGACAGCTCGGTGGTAGGTACTAGTATATCATTATTTTACTCATGAAGAGCAGAATGAGCTAGTAAGTGATGGACATGGAACTCAATCCACAGTTTGACTGCAGCATTCATACTCTATTATGATGCAGCGAAGATTAACAACTGTCTTGTTTTTGTTTGCTCAGTCTTGTCAGTATTTTACATTTTTATAGCTGTGATGACATTTAATGGGCATAGATTTAATGTCTATAACCATTTTCTTAATATCCAAGTCTTTTACATATTGCTTACAAGTGATTTGCCCAGAAAATACAAAAGGCAAATATCTGGACCTTGCCTTAGCCTTTCCTAGTAGACCCTCACTACCAATAATAGCAGCTACCTTTAGTTAACCTAGTGACTAGTTAGCTTTACTTTCTATCTCTTCCTTTTCTGGCAGGACTAGGGTTTGAATTTGGCTTTGCTTTTGCTAGTTAGGTTCTCTACCACTTGAACCACACCTGCAGCCCTTTTTGAGCTGGTTATTTTTAAGATAGGGTCTCATTTTTCTTTCCCTGGACCAACCTGTACCATAATTTTATAAAATGACAGGTATACACCACCATACCCAGATTAACTTTTTTTTTCCCAGATTACAAATATGCCTCCCTGCTACCTCTTCCTCTTAATTGATCCTTCACTCTCCCAGAACCTCTTGAAGAGTATGTATCAGCTGCTAATTCAATAGCTTTCCATAGCCATGTAAAGGTAAAACCCAATTTCTTACTCAGCACTGGCTGCAGTTAAGTACTCGGTACTGTGTGGCCAGTGGCTACCAGAAAGTTCTGTTGTACAGTACTATTCTGCCTCTCCAAAGGAAGATTTTGTGCTATATCCCAAAATTTTGATAGAGAGTCCTATTGAACTCGTGAGAGGAATATTTTTTATATTCCCATATTAGTGCTGTTTGTCCAAATACTCAGAATATCCTTACTAATACTAGTAGTTACGAAAGAAATAGAAGCAGGGCATTGGTGGCTCACACGTATAATCCTAGCAACCCAGGAGGCTGAGATCTCAGCATCACAGTTTGAAGCCAACCAAGGCAGGAAAGACCATAAGACTGTCTTATCTACAATTAGCCACCCAAAATCTGGAAGCAGAACTGTGGATCAAAGTGGTAGAGCTCTAGCCTTGAGCAAAAAAGCTCAGAGACAGTGTCCAGGTCCTGAACTCAAAACCATATTTTTAAAAAAAGAAGAAGGAAAGGGAAATTTCATAAATTTTCCTTAAGGAAATTTTGCATTTATCTCAGTTTTCAGCCATAAAAGCATATTTTAGTATTACTCACCTACCTTTTGAGAACTTGAGCATGAAATTAAGAGACTACATTCATGCACAAATCTGTTTTAAAATTACTTGCCAGCATTCAGGTTTCTCAAGCAGTACAAAAGGACTATACTTAGGTACAGCACCATATCAGACTAAAGAAAAGTAATTAGGAGTTATGGTTACAACATTCAAAAACAGAAAAACATTCGAAATAACGATTCCATTTGGGTCAGTGGGCTTGTTGGGAATGCCATGTATTGGGCATATGGTCTGAAATATTTTTTGGAAAACTTATAAGTGGGCCATGGACAAGGCAGCTTTGCATTGACTTTATCTACATGTAAATACCCTACACTATTATAAATCTGCCTGAGAACCATCATACCCAGTTTTACCATTAATCTTCACAAGAGAAAGAATCCTTACTGAGCCTTTTCTCTGTGTGTTTGTGTTCCCATGTACGATATCCACATGTACAGAGCACGATTTGAACTCCTCTGTTCTCCGCTTTTCAATAAGTGTATAGAAGCAATCCAAGAGCTCTTAGATCAAAGTGGATTCACAGCACAGAATATCAACAAGGTATGCTTCTATATCCTCATTATTCTAGGAATAGTCTCAGATTTGGAATATTCAGTATTCTAAATCTCATTTAGTCAGTAGCAAATGAATGAGTCATTGAGGACGCTAAAGACACATTCCACGTGAGTCTCAGCAATGAGATTTAGTGAGATCACACCAAGATCTTAAAACCACAAGACATCTGTTTCCTCAGGACCCATAGTATGCTTCAATGAAGGCAAAAAGTTTGTGGCACATTTTTCACATAGAAAAGTTAGGAATTTATTTACACATTTATTTTTAAATGTTGGAATAAACCACGGCACTGGTGGCTCATGCCAGTAATTCTAGTTACTCAGGAGGCTGAGATCTTAGCAAAGTAGTTTGAAGCCAGCCTGGTCAGGAAAGTCTGTGGGACTCTTATCTCTAAGTAATGAAGAGAAAAGTTGAAAGTGGAGCCATGGTTCAAGTGGTAGAGTGCTAGCCTTGCAAAACAAGTTCAGGGACAGTGCCCACACCTTGAGTTCAAGCCCCAGGACTGGCACCAAAAATGAATGAATGAATAAACAAATGTTGGAATAACACAAAGTATCTTTTCATTAAGTTTATGGTTAAGCCTCATATATAGCGTTATAGTTATAGGCAAATATCGAGTAGTACACACTGTATTTATACAGTGCAGTTTCCTTATCTTAAGTTTTATTGTGACATAGCATGCTAAAACCCACTGTTAGGTTTGCTGAAGATGACTTAGCCTGTTAAATTCCCTTTTCCAGGTTGTACTTTGTGGAGGGTCTTCTCGAATCCCAAAGCTCCAGCAGCTGATTAAAGACCTTTTCCCAGCTGTGGAGCTTCTCAGTTCTATCCCTCCAGATGAGGTTATCCCTATTGGCGCAGCTCTGGAAGCAGGAATTCTCATTGGGAAAGAAAATATCTCAGTGGAAGACTCTCTTGTGATTGAGTGTTCAGCCAAAGACATCTTAGTGAAGGTAAAGTTAGCCTTTCTGTAAAAGGAGTACAAATAGTTGCTGTAACTTTTCATATAACCCTAATTTGTTATAAGCTATGTATACAGGTCAAGAATTTAAATTTAAATTTCTATAATTTTTGAAGAACCTGTATGTATATATATATATTTTTTTTTTTTTTGATCCGGTCATGGGGCCTGAACTCTGGGCCTGGCCACTGTCCCTCAGCTCAAGGCTAGCGCTCTACCACTTGAGCCACAGTGCCACTTCTGGCTTTTTTCTTTTTGCTTATGTGGTGCTGGGGAATTGAACCCAGGGCCTCATATTATGTTAATTTCTTAGGGAGATGAAAGTTAAGTACAATTTGCATTGTCAACCTCTGTCATAGGTAGAGAGAGATGTGTTTCAGGTTTCAGTACTTTTTTATATAAAGTGGGTTGGAATTGAGTATTATTTCTGTTCTCTTTACTTTGGCTAATTTCCAAATTAGCCACAAAGAATTTTTATTTGATTTGTAATAAGAGTTCATCACAAGTACTTTTTGTGCGTGTAAAGGTAAATGTCATAGGACATACATTTTTGATTTCCTGCTTACTAGGGTGTGGATGAGTCAGGACTCAACAGATTCACAGTACTGTTCCCATCTGGGACACCTTTGCCAGCTCGAAGACAGCACACCTTACAAGCCCCTGGTGCTCTGTCATCTGTTTGCCTTGAACTCTATGAGTCTGAGGGGGAGAACACTGCAACAGAAGAAAGCAAGTTTGCACAGGTGAATACACAACTGCACTGCTGTAGTCACTTGCAACTGTTTAGCCTTTCCTTCTGGATTCAGTTTAATATCTGAATATATAGAGCACCTGCTATTTTATGAGTGGAATGGTCCTACTTACTCATTTCTGAAACAGTGGGGGGAAAGAATTGATTTTTAATTTGAAAGAGTTATGGGAAACAAAGTACAGTTAATTGATTCTCTGTGCTTTTGACCCACTTTAACAATTAAATTACCTTTTTTTCTTTACTAAATGCCATGTATTATTCTTTATAAACATGATCTCTCTTTTATAATTGGTCATGTAGGAGATGAGTATAAATTTACTTTCATAGTCAAAATAAAACAAATGCAGGTAATGTAGAGTATGAGGATATTTCTTTTTGTTGTTTGGGTTTGGATTTTGGTCTTTTGAAATAGATCTGCCTTAGCCTGCTAAATGCTGGGCCTACAGGTGTTTGTTACCACCTCTAGTATCTACTTCATTTTTTCTTTGTTGTTGTTAGTGGTAGGGTATGTGTCGTTGTAGGGGTTTGACCCCAGGGCTTGTACTTGCTAGGCAGGTGCTCTATCACTTGAGTCACATGTCCCCAATCCTTCCATTTGTTTTTTAATATACACATTCAGAGAAAAGCCCAGAAACCAGACTAAAATGTGTCATTATGCTGGAAAAAAAGGAATGATTTTTAGTGGTGTGATGTGTAGTTATTATAGCTTACATTTTATTCTCCCAACAAAAGCATAGTCTCACACACACACACACACAGCATACCTGAGTGGAACCTTACACTTACCAACTCGGTATCTTGGTAAAAGATTTAAAACTCCTCCAACAGTGATGACTGACAGGAATTAAGCCTTAGGCTGGTTCCTCAAAGCCATGGAGTAGCTGTGGTCACCAAGGCACTGCATGCATATTTGGGGTAAGCATTACCTTTTCTGTACGTTGCACCAAACCATCTGAAGTTTACAATTTATATTATATCTTTAAATAAATTTGGTAACTAAAAATAAATAAGTAAGTTCCTCCTGATAATTCTGCCTTACAGGTATATTCAGTTTTCTTGTATACTAGGTCTCTAATTTCATGTAGCAGTTTTACTGTCTTGCCTCAGTGGCTTTCTTTTGTTCATTTATTACCTGGGCTCAGTGACACACACCTGTCATTCCGGCTATGCAGGAAGCATAAACAGGAGGGCAGGCCAACCTGGACATAAACTTTAGACCTTATTCCAAAAGTAAAGCAAAAAGGTCTGGAGATTTGGCTCAAGTGTTAGACCATTGCCTAACAAGTACAAGGTCCTGAGTTGAAACTTCACTCCTCTAAAAAAACAAGAAAGAAGTTTACTTTTTGCAGTAGTAACTGTGTCTGTTCATTAATATCTCAATGTACCGAACCATCTTTGTACTATTTTTGCATAAACAGGTTGTTCTTCAGGATTTAGATAAAAAAGAAAATGGATTACGTGATATATTAGCTGTTCTTACTATGAAAAGGTACAGAATTGAACTACTTACAATGTTAAGAAAATACACTTTGAAACTTGACCAATTTTGTGGGTTTGTTGAGTCCTCATTCTTAGCAAGTCGTTAATTAAAGATTTTCAGGGAATGTTATCAGTGAATCACGTTCTTCAAAGAAGAGTATATCTCAAGTAATTTGCATTGTGAATATTTTATGAGCTCTTCATTTTTTAGTATAGTCAACCTAAGAAACTCCCCATTTTACTTAGCAATGTAATTTTTGTCAGTTTTCACATAATTTTCTAAGGTAATGCCATTGATACCCTTTGTCTCATGGAAGGGTATGTTAGTACAGCTATAAGAAATAACCTAATTGCATCCAGTTCTAATATAGCACACCATTCTAACACTGCTAATACTAACCCTTCTAATACAACGGACCAGAATATTACTATGTGTTTAGTATATCCTTTCTACATTAACATTAGGAACAAGAATATTACTTAGAAAGAATATTGATTTCATTAAGGGTGGGTTTTCCTTAGTCTGAGCTTGAAACTGGCATGCTGTATCTTGAACTTCTATAAAGTCTAAAAATAGGATGTTTATCACCATGAATTTCCAAGGAAACAGCTGTTAAATCAGCAGTGGTCTGGGAGGAGCTCCAAGAACTTCCTCAGAACATCCACTAAATTTATAGACAATGAAATGATGTTCCTTCTTTGTCTTAATATGCTTAACTATTAACTTATGTTCACTCAAAAGCCCTTAGTAACATATTAATGACTTTCTGGTTTTGTAAAATAAGCTCATGAAATGTTCATTTTTATTTGTTTGCTTAGGGATGGATCTTTACATGTGACATGCACAGATCAAGAGACTGGGAAATGTGAAGCAATCACCGTTGAGGTTGCATCTTAATGTTTCAGATAACTTTTGAGCTATTCATATTATTTGGTTTTATGTATAAGTGCTGACTATATTAAAATACTTTTTCAATGACCTGTATAGCCATTTTTCTATTAAAATACAATATATTGGTAAGTGTTGCCGTCTTTTTTGTTATGTTTTGTCATGCATTTTGGCCATGAAGCTGTTAGAATTGAATTGGTTGAAATTTTACCCTATGTTTTAGCATTTTTATACTTTTCTAACTTTCCATTTTACAAATATTTTTCTTGATTCTTAGAAGGTACTTAAGAAAACAATTAAAAGTTTATATTAATAGAAAAAATGCAGAAGTATGTAGTATTGTTAGCTTTCTCATCAAGGCTGGCATAAACAACTAAGAGGTAAGAAAGGTCCATTTTGTTTCGTTTCAGAGATTTCACCCTACCATGGCAAGCCACAGTAATCAGGAGCATAGTTAGGGATTACAGGAAAGGCTCAGCACAAGATGTAGCCCCCAAGGACTCACCCTCATTTCTTTGCTACTCAGCTGTTTATTGCTATGTTCAAGCATTAAAAGAGAGGAGTTACTTATTTTGCTTGGGGGTTTGAATGTTGATCCCCAGTAGTGAGGCAGAACTTCATGGCTGGAGGCATGTTGCAAAGGCTACTTGAGTGTGAACAGTAGGAAATGAAGGAAAGGGAATGCTCTAGGGAAAGGCCCAGACAAGATACAGCCCAAGAGGACATGGCCCCCAGTGATGTTTCTCCACCAAGGAAACCTCTTGTCCTACTTTACACTGCCTTCCAATAATGCCATCAAGGGATGAGTCCATTGATGAGCTCAGAGATCTCAGGTTCCAATCACTTCCCCAAAATCTATCAGCTGCCAGCCAAGCCCACAGCTCATGAGCTCGTGGGAGCCATTTCATATTTAGACTCTTAACACATATGCAGTTAAGATACCAGGGCAAGAGTATAGCTCACTTATAGCTTATAAAGCCCTGGGTTCAATTTTCAAGTGGTGAAGATTGAACCCAGGGCCTCAACAATAACATTTTTGTTTAACTTTTTTGCAACTCAAGGACCTTGTACCCACTTGGCTTGTACTCTTACCATTTGAGCCATGTATCCAGCCTGGGTTTTTCCTAGTTATTTATCAAAACACAAAATCTAGAAGACCAAACATGTTTTTCTTGTGTTTATATTGAGACTAGCCATGTTCTCTTCAGAATATTCACTAGAGGGCTGGGAAGGTAGCTCAGTGGTAGAGCGCTTGCCTTGCATGCATGAGGCCCTGGGTTCGATTCCTCAACACCACATAAGCAAAAAAAGAAAAAAGCTGGAAGTGGCGCTGTGGCTCAAGTGGTAGAGTGCTAGCCTTAAGCTGAAGAGCTGAGGGACAGCGCCCAGGCCCAGAGTTCAAGACCCACGACCGACTAAAAAAAAAGAATGAACAGACACACATAGGTATCGCACTTTGTGTTCCTCTCCCAAGAATATCCTTTGGTCTCACTGTGTGTGGATGCCTAGAGTCATGTATAATCTCAATGTATTTTAGATCTAGCTTCCACATGTAACATTTGTTCTACATCCATCCATTTCCCTGAAAATGACATAATACTTTTTAATGGTTATGTAAATTCCATTGTAAATGAATACCACTTTTTTTTTTCATCCACTCATCTATTATAGGGCATCTGGGCTATCTGACTAGCAACGAACATGAATGTAGGGCATCCTGGCTTGTGACATCTTGGGTAGATTCCCAGGAGTGTTATGGCTGAGTCAGAGGGAAGATCTATGTTTACTTTTTTTTTGGGGGGGGGGTCCGGTTGTGGGGCCTGAACTCTGGGCCTGGGCGCTGTCCCTCAGCTCTTCAGCTCAAGGCTAGCGCTCTACCA